CATGAGGCATATTTTTTCTTTTTCTTTTTGGTGCTAGGCATTGAAATCAGGACCTCACACATACTAAGAAGCAAATGCTCTGTTAATGAACTACACCCCTAGCAGCAAGGTATGGTCTTGATGCTGAGATATGTTGATATACACTTGAATCAAACTGTGAAATATGATATATTAAGAACTATGTAATGTTTTGAACGACCAACAATAAAAAAAAAAAGAATACATTGAGCAGGTATTCTTGCAAATTGGTTAGTGAGTTATATACTTACATACATAATTTTAAATAAGTTGTTTTGCAATAAAAGACATAAATGCTCAATTTTGACATAAAAAAAAGAGATATGTTGATATAAACTGAGGAGAATATAGCTTAAAATTTTTGATAATATTTATTTATTTATTTTCTAGAAAATAACTAAAGGACACTAAATCCCTAAGATGACCAAACTGCTTGGGTGACAATGGCTTTTATACTCTGATCTAAAGCAAAGAAAATATATAATTAAGGCCAAGACAAGATATCAGGCATTTGGGGTGAGTTCAAATTTAGTTTCTGAGAAATTATGCATCTAATTTATAAATATGTATGGTGGCTGGAGGTGCAACTCGGTGGTAGTGGGTACGTTAAGTGTGAGAAGCCCTGGGTTCAATACTCAGCAATCCTCTCTGTAAAAAGCTATGGTAGATCTTACTGCAGAAATGGTTTATGTAAAACAGAAGTGTTAAGAAACATTTAGGGCTGGATATTTAAGCCTGGAGACTCAGGAGGCTGAGACAAGAGGATTCCAAGTTCAAGGCCAGCCTAGGCAACTTAGGGAGACTGTCACAAAAAATGTCAAAAGGGATGGGAATATAGGCAAGGTGGAAGAGCGTCCCTGGGTTCAACCCCAAGTCCTGCAAAAGAAAAAAAGAAAAAAGAAAAAACATTTAGGGCTAGGGCAGTAATGTCAGTGGTAGACTATTTGACTAGCATGCATGAAGTTCAGGGGTTTGATCTCCTACACTGAGAAAAAGAGTATGTCCCTAAAATTCCTTTTATACTATTCCAAATACAGCATTCTATAGACAGGTTGGCTCTATTTTAACATTATGTGAGAATATTACTGACACTGGTATACAAAGGATTCTGGTTTCTGGTACTCAAAGTACTGCCTTTTTTTTTTGTGGTCAGAGGACTGAACTCAGGCCCTTTTAGATGCTAGGCTCCACCACTGAGCTACACCACCAGCCCTTGTTTTCTTTTTTAAAAGACAATATGACATTTTATTCTGCTAAATGGATGTACTATATTTAATAAGCCTGTGTTGTGGAAATGTTGTTTTTGATCTTTTGTTATTACAGTGATTCAGTGAATAGCTTTATACATGCCTTTTCTTAAACAGAGAAATGATAAATTATTAGAAATAATTATTGTATCAACAGATTTATAAAACATTTCTTTTCTTTTTTGTGGTACTGGGAACCAGACCCAGCACCTTGTCCATGCTAGGTGCTCTTTCATTGACCTAGACCCTCAACCCTTCTTTGAAATTTTTATTTTGAGGCAGTATTGGTAAATTGCACAGGTTGGCCTTGAACTTGCCACCTTCTCCCACCTTGATGTTCAGCCTCATCTTGAGCCCTGAGGAATGGAGCTGGCCTTGTATGGACTAAGACCCCTGAAACTGTGAGCCCTCAAATAAACTCTTCCTCCTCTATAGTTGTGCTGGTCAGGTCCTTTAGTCACAGCATCAAAAAAGGTGACTAAAACACCAATTAAAATAAAAAAAAAAAAGCCTGGAATATATATTAGAACTATCAAATAATTATTGGCCGGGTACATAGCTCAGTTTACTTGTCTATTATGCACAAGGTCTTGGGTTCAATCCCCAGCCTATGAAAAAATAAATAAATAGGGCTGGGGATGTGGCTCAGTGGTAGAGCATTTGCCTAGCATAATCAGAGCCCTGGGTTTGCTCCACAGTACTGCAAAAAATAAAATAAATAAAATAAATTTTTTTTTAAAAAAAGTGTTTTTTTTTTTTTTTTTTGTACTGGGGATTGAACTCAGGTGCATTTGGCCATTGAGCCATATCTCCAGATCTACTTTGTATTTTATTTAGAGACAGGGTCTCACTAAGTTGCTTAGCACCTCGCTTTTGCTTAGGCTGTCTTTGAACTAATGATCCTCCTGCCTCAGCCTCCCAAGTGGCTGGGATTAAGGTGTGCACCATCGTGCCTAGCTAAAGTGACTTCTTTTAAATAAGTTATAAAATTGTATCAAATCATACACTGAAATATTTAATTCAATTATTCCTCAATTCACTTTCCAATTTCTATTATTACCAAAACCAAAAATTATACAATAATTGCCAATCAGTCCCAGCCCTATAATGTTGTTTTATCATTATTTTTTAAAAAATATTTTTTAGTTGTAGTTGACACGAACCCAGGGCCTTGCATGTGCTTTTCAAGTGCTCTACGGCTGAGCCACAACCCCAGCCCCTATAATGTTGTTTTAATAAAGTTTTATTATTATATGACTTTCWTTTTGACTTATGGTAAAAATCCACCCTGTATGTTCCACAATCTGTTTCTTTCTCTCTTTGTTATATGGAAACGAACCGAGGGCTTTGTAATTGCTACTAGACAAGCATTGTACCCCTGAGTTTAATTTTTTTTTTTTTTTTTTACTCAATTGCCCAGGCTGGCCTTGAACTTGTCATCTTCCTGCCTTGGTCTGGAGGAGCTGGGATTATGGGCCTGGGTTACTATGCCTGGCTCAATATCTAATTTCAATGTTTTGTATTTTTTGTCTTAAAAGTTCAGTTACCACACTTACTTGAATTGCAAAACAGAAGTTAGGAAAAGAATGATTTCACTGATGGGTTTGAATAATAAATTGCCTTTGCCAATTAAATTGCACACCAAGGATTTTCCATAAATTTAATGCACTAAATATGCAACTTCAGGGTTTTAAAATATTTCTGACACAGTAAGAAAAATATTCTGTCAAAAGATAAAGAAATCTTTAGGTAAATTTGTTAAAAATTCTGTCTTTTCCAACTCCCTTTCTGTATATTGAATTAAATAAAGTACATCTAAGCAGTAACAGACAAATTTCTAGGGCATTTGAGAGTTACTGTATCTATCTGGTATCCTTCTCAGACACTGAGACAGTAAAAATTGCCTTCAATGCCTGGGTAACAGAATCTTTATGATTCAGTGCTTTTCAATCCTTATGATTTCAGTGCTTTCATCAAATATAATGATGACAGATCACTGCAATCTTTGACCATGTAACTTGCAAAAAGTTAATTGAATGACTTGCCATTATTAAAACTCTTTTCACTTCCATATTTATTTACATAAGCAAGGTTCTCCAGACATACAAAAATAAGACACAATACCATTGATGCTGATACCATACCAGGCAGAATGGCTGTCATCAAGAATACAAATAATAATAAATGCAGGAGAGGATGTGGAGAAAAAGAAACATACACTGTCGGTGGGACTATAAATAGTACAACCACTATGAAAATCAGCATGAGGGTTCCTCAAAAGACTAGGCATGGAACCACCATATGACCGAGCTACACGACTTCTTGATATAGCTTCTTGGTGTAGCTCCTGAAGAATTAAAGTCATCATACTACAGTGATATATGCATACCCATGTTTATAGCAGCACAATTCACAATAGGCAAACTATTAAAGCACCCAGGGTGTCTATCAACAGATGAATGAAAAAGAAAATGTGGTGTATATGTAACAATGGGGTTTTTAAAAAATATATATAATTTTAGTTGTCAATGGACCTTTATTTAATGAGTTTATTTATATGTGATGCTGAGAATTGAACCCAATGCCTCACACATGCTAGGCGAGCGCTTTACCACTGAGCCACAACCCTAGACCCCACAATGGGGTTTTATTCAGCCATAAGGAAAAATGAAATTATGTCATTTGCAGGAAAAATGGATGGAACTACATTCCATTATGTCAAGTGAAATAAGTCAAACTCAGAAGGTTAAGAATCATATTTTCTCTCATATATGGAATCTAGAGAATTTAATGGAAAAGAAAGGTGGGGGCAGAACTCATGGAAATCAAAGGGAGATCAGTAGAGGAAAGGAAMCAATGCATGGGAGGTGGTAAAGGAGGAGGAAAGTCCTGAGAATGATACTGGCCAAATTACATTGTTATATTGTATATGTGTGCATGCATAATATGTAACAACAAATTCCTTCATTATGTACATTATAATGCACCAATTTAAAAATGTGGGGGAAAAAAGACTATAACTGATGCTTAATCTATATCATTCTAGAAATACATTATTCAATATACAATACTAGAAATATTTAAAAACTTCAATAAAAATATATTATAGGATGATTAATAAAAAAATTTTAAGAGCTTAGGTATAACTCATTGGTAAACAAGTGCTTTTTTTGCCTGTAGTGCAAGGCCCTGGTTTCAATCCTCAGAACCAAAACAAAGGCAAGATAAAAATATATATAAATATTGCTGGGTTCAATTCCCCGTACCAAAAACAAAAAATAACAACAAAAAACAAAACGGGGAAAAAAAAAAACAAAACACCACCACCACCACAAACCCACATATACATTAAAGAGCTGAKCATGATGATATATGTCTGCAATCTCAGCAAGGAGGAATGCAAGTTTGAGGCCAGCCTCAGCAACTTAGCAGGGCCCTAYGTAACTCAGTGAGAAATGGTCTCAAAATACAAAATAAAAAGGATGTGCTCAGTGGTAAAGCACTCCTGGGTTCAATCCCCAGTACCAAAACAAACAAACAAACAAACAAACAAACAAAAAATGACATTTTAAAAGCAGGGCATGACAATTATATTTTTGAAAAATTTTCAAAAAAAGTGAACTCAGGGGACTAGGGATATAGCTTAGTAGTGCTTGAGGCCCTGGGATCAATACCCAACAACACATACACACATATACACAAGAAAACCCAGTTTGTATTAAAAGAGAAGCTTACCTTTTAGGTCGAGGAAGGCCCATCGGCGTAAGATTAGGATCAGGCTTGGGAATGGTTTTCCGAATACGAATCTGTGAGACTTTCTTTAGTCTCTTCTCTGGCTCAGCCTGTTTTTATGGATTATGAAAAAAATGTTCAGGGCTAARATGAATAAATAATTTTAAAAATTTTTAAATAATTTTWAAAAAATGTTAGGGTGTGCTGGGAAGCACACCCTAGCATGCACAAGGCCCTGGGTTTAATCCCCAGCACCACRAAAAAAGAAAATGTTCAAGATATAAAACATTTTAAACAAAGTCCCTTTTCTTGACATGGCATCCTCAGTACATCCTTAGTACATAGTAAGTAGCTCATGACAAAGCTCTCTCTCCTAATTTTAGCAACTATGCTTTTTACATTATTAAAGCAGAATTTACATTTAGTTTAGACACTGAGATTATTAATTCATAAAATTTGCAACCAGTGAAGGCATCAGATTTTACAAAATTGAACAACACTACTGGGTGTGGCGGCATACACCTGTAATCCCAGCTACTTGGAAGGCTAAGGCAAGATCCCAAGTTCAAGATTAGCCCCAGCAATTTAGTGAGACCCTGTCTCAAAATGAAAAATAAACTGGCATGGTGGCCCATGGYTGTAATCCCAGTGGCTCAGGAGGCTTAGGCAGGAGGATTACAAATTCAAAGCCAGTCTCAGCAATTTAGTGAGACTTTAAGCAATTTAGTGAGACTSTGCCTCCAAATAAAAACAAGAAAAATAAAAAGGATTGGGGATGAGGCTCATGGTTAAGTACTCCTGGGTTTAATCCCTGGTACCAAAAATAAAAAAGATCTGAGGAGGTAACTCCCAAGCCTACCACAAATAAACAAACAAAATGCCAAAAATAAAGAATACCATCATTCGCTAGCACAAGTGGCTCTTTTGGTCCAAGTTTCTATAAACACTCTTAAATGCTATCACCAAGAAAAAAGTATCTGGAAAACAATGCAAATTAAAAAATCCAAGATGAGCTTGGTGGTGCTTTCATGTAGTCTCAGCTACCTGAAAGGCTCAGCCAATAGGCTCATTTGTGCTCAGGAATTGAGTCCATCCTAGGCAACACATTGAAATCTGTCTCTAAAAGTAAACTAAGATGAATAAATAATTTTAAAAAATCCATTCTTTACTGGCCAAGCAGAAAAACTCATATTCTCTGACACTTTGCTGAAACTAAAGGTGGCTCAGTCTAGACTCACAGGGGTCTCAGTCTGTACCTAACATAAGATGTGAGTCAATAATGGTGACCCCAATGTCATCATTGCCTTACTCCACTGGCACTTCACATTTACCTCTTTCTGTTCCGGAGGGCTGCTCTGTGGTTGGGGGCAGGCTGCTGTCACACCATCCAGTTCATCAAACCCAGGAACTTGGAACTCAGAGCCTGAAAGCAGGAGTTTGCTGACAGCTGGTTCTGTTACCAAGCAAGACTTTGGTACCAAGGCAGTGAGTGCAGGCTCTAGCCTAGCATCAGAGAAAGAGAGAGATATATATAGATATATAGATAGATAGATAGAGAGATAGAGAGAGAGAGAGAGAGAAAGAGAAGAACCACATGAGATGGGTTCACTTTCTACTTCCAGCACATTCACTTTCTTAACATTCAAACTAGAATTGAAGACTTCCCTTCTATGAAGGAACGACATCGCCATTCAGCCTATTTTTTTTTATCACTTTGGGATATAGCCTAAGTCTACATATGTGAATTACAAGAATGTGATCAATCTATTTCATTGTTCTGTAGCATTTTTAAGAAAAAAAATGTAAAAAGGAATGGACTTTTGGAGGAAGAAAACATTTAGCGGACTGAACAAATAAACAGTGYTAAGATCAATCTCATTCAGGGAATAAAGTTGGCTAAGTGATAAGTCCTGAATTGAGAGGGGACTTCTGACATGATAAACTGGTTAATTTTTACTTTTATAAAAACTAAAAAATGGGCTGGGGATGTGGCTCAAGCGGTAGCGCGCTCGCCTGGCATGCGTGCGGCCCGGGTTCGATCCTCAGCACCACATACAAACAAAGATGTTGTGTCCGCCGAGAACTAAAAAAATAAATATTAAAAATTCTCTCTATCTCTCTCTCTCCTCTCTCACTCTCTCTTTAAAAAAAAAAAAAAAAAACTAAAAAATGTTGATTATACATCCCTAGTTGCTACTTAAAATATAGCACATTTGAATCTCAGAGACAGCTATGAGCGGTAGATTGGATTTACCGAGATAAGAATCTCTCTTTCTACACACACACACACACACACACACACACACACACACACACACCCTACAACTGAAGTTTTGTGTGCCAGAGGCTTACCTCATCTGACTGCTGCTGGTGTTATATGTAACTTCCATGCCTGGAAGAGGCACATATGGTAACATGGTGTGGCTGAAGTGAATCATAAATAGAAAAGCAGCAGGTTAGAGGAGTAAGACAACAGGAAAGGTTTCTGAGTATCATGGGTATTAGCACATTATGTAAAGTCCTAAGAAAGATGAAAACCTCCTAATTCATGAGAAATAAACTTATGTGCCCATCACTGAAACAGATGCAGGTTGACAGAAGATTATTTTCTCACTTAAATGGAAAGAAGGTAGAGAAACAGAGGGAAGTAAAAGAAAGGAGGGGAACAAGAGTGAATTTGGGCCTTATACCTTTTCATCAAGTTGTTGAGTATGTATATTAAAGATTAAAGATAGCTGGGCTGGTGGCTCATGCCTATAATCCCAGTGACTTGGAAAGCTGAGACAGGATGATTTCAAATTCAAGGCCAGCCTCAGCAATTTAGCAAGACCCTTAGCAACTTAGCAAACCCTGTTTCAAACTAAAAAACAAATAAAATAAAAAGGACTGGGGGTACAGCTTAGTGGTAAAGTGCCTCTGGTTCAGTCCTTAGTACAAAAATAAAATAAAAGTTAAAAATATCTTCTACTACTTAGCTCAGTATTGTTAAAATTCACCATTTTGTATAATCTTACAAAATAGTAAGGAAAAACATTTTTCTTTAAAGCCAAGTGGCACATAAAACATGGCTATGTAGAAGAAAATTGCTAAGTTGATTCCTTTATAATTATAATTTATATATTTAAAGATAAAACAACAATAACAGCATTAATCACTTACAGAAGCATTCATAGGCTGGGTGCGGTAGTGCATGCCTGTAATCCCAGCAACTCAGGAAGTTGAGGCAGAAGGATCCCAAGTTCGAGACCAGTCTCAGCAACTTACTGAGACCCTGTCTCAAAATAAAATAAAAAGGGCTGGGAATGTAGCTTGGTGATAAAGCACCCCTGGATTCAATCCCTAGCACAATCAATCAATACAAACTTGGTACATGCTTTATTAACAAGGTATTTGTATGATGACCAACAACCCATTTCCCTTTACAAACAGGAAGAATGAAGCTAGGCATGGTGGCACACACGTGTAATCCCAGCTACTTGGGAAGCTGAGGCAGGAAGATTGCAAGATTGAGGACAGCCTGGGCAACTTAGAGAAACCCTGTCTCAAAATTAAAGGGCTGGGGACTCAGCTCAGTGGTAGAGTTTTGTCTAGTATGCATGAGGCCCTGGGTTCAATCCCCAGCACAAAGAAAAAATAAAATTAAAAGGGCTGGGGGTATAGCTCAGTGGTAGAGCACTTGTCTAACAAGGGTAAGACCCTGGGTTCAATCTCCAGTGCCACAAAAGAAAAGAAAAAAATTWAAAAAAAAAAGAAAAAAGAGGAATGTGCCTAGTAGCTAGGAAAAATAGATAATTCGTTTTTTTGTTTGTTTGTTTTTTTCAAGGAATACTGACAAATAGGAAAGAAAGGCAGAGTGAAATACAGGAAAAAGACCTGACCAATCAGGAATCAACAGATCTTGATCCTAGTTCTAGTTCAGTGAAAAACCTAATCAACTCAGGGATTGAGCTTAGAAAGAAACCTTCATGTGCCTAAGTCTCGACATTTATAATAAAGGCAAAAAAGGCTGGGCATGGTGGAGCATTCCTGTAATCCCAGCAACTTGGGAGACGGAAGCAGAAGGATTTTAAATTTAAAGCCAGCCTCAGGAATTTAGCAAAGCCCTGAAAACTTAGTGAGACTCTTGTCTCAAAATTAAAAAATAAAAGTAAGGGCTGGAGATGTAGTTCAGTGATAAAGCACTTCTGGGTTCAATCCCCAGTTTAAAAAAAAAAAAAAAAAGTGGTGGCTGTGTAGAGATGCTTGATGCTAGTCCAACCTGTCCTACAGAGTGAAGAGTGCTGGAAAATAAGGTTCAAAGGAAAATGTCCCTATGAAAACATAAATTAATTTAATCTGTTAAATCTTGTTTTCTGAGGTTATACATTTTACATTGCTGGAAAACACTTCTAAGTGTCTTTAGAAAAACAGCGAACTTCTATCTGAGCCCAGACACATGATGTCAAAGCACTTTTAGAGGCAATGAGTAGGAAAAGTCCCTATCAGTACCTCCTCTCCACCTTCTTGAATTTAAATTAAATTAAAAGCTAGATATAAGAAGTAAGGCCAGGTATGGTGGAACACACTTGTAATCCCAGTGGCTCAGAAGGCTGAGGCAGAAGGATTGCAAGTTTGAGGTCAGCCTCAGCAACTTAGTGAGGCCCTAAACAACTTAATGAGACCCTGTCTCAAAATAAAAATAAAAATAAGGGTTGGGGATATGGCTTAGTGGTTATGCACTGCTGGGTTCAATCCCTAGTAACTCTTGMCCCCCAAAAGTGAATATTCTTTTACCTACAGGACAAATGCTCATAATTCATAATTAATCTTTTGATTTCAGTAAGCAATGTTAGGGTTCTGTAGCATTTTCCCAAAACCTCTTTATTTATTTACCTCTCTGCTAAAATGCATAAAGAAATGCAAAGGTTCGAAAACTGGATATGCTGATATTTACATAATTYATTTCTTTACTAAAACAGTATTTATTCTGGCTGGGCAAGGTGGCGCATGCCTATAATCCCAGCGGCTCGGGAGGCTGAGACAGGAGGACCACGAGTTCAAAGACAGCCTCAGCAATTTAGCAAGACACTAAGCAACTCAGTGAGACCTTGTCTCTAATTAAAATACAAAATAGGGCTGGGGATGTGGCTCTGTGGTTGAGTGCCCTTGAGTTCAATTCCCAATACCAAGGGGAAAAAAAAAAAAAAAGTACTTATTCTGTATTTTTACATGCCTAAAACTGAGTTAGATGCTGCTATATATATGCTTTGTGACAAAGATACAGTTACAAGCCATTGTGACTATTTACAATCTTTCACTTGTAATGACCATATGGTCTTTGTAAACTGGGGGCATGATGATAAAAGAAGAGATTCAAAAGACTGATGGTTTGAAGAATAAAATGAACAGAAAAAAGAATGACCAGAATACAGGTACAGATTCTATATGACAATTATGGGTATCCACACCTAAGAAGTACTGTTGGACTTTTCTCATCAGAGATCTGCCAAAATAAACCTCAAGTGCAGATACAGAGACGACTGAAAATGGCCTTGCCAAAAGTTCCTTTTCTCTCCCTAGTGGGAGGAAGCAAAGACGGGACATTTTTAAAGAACAAGGGACAGATATTACCTGCTTGTGGTGCCCAGACTTCGTGGTCGCTTGGAATGGAGAGCAGAGATTTCGAAGGAGCAGGAGGAAGGCCCATGCTGGCTCCAAATGGATAATACCCTACCCACAGAGTAGGGCAGAGAACAGAAGACCTTGTCTGCTATGGAGGCTGGAGACTTTAACCCTTTCAAGCCCTGTGTAAACTGGGTCATGAAGAGCCTCTGCATGGTAGGCATGTGACTAGAAAAGCTCCGTTTTTTTGTCCAGATTCGGTAACATCCCGGGGAACAAAGTGCAAGAAGTGTGTGAAGGCCAAGGACAGAGCARTCTGCTCTGCTCTGGACTATGGAAGAGCCTCCATAGTCTTGGAGAGGAGCTACAGTCTGTTGAGAAGCCTGAGTGTGTGCCTGACTATGGAGGCCAGTATCTTCCCTGAATGTGGCCATCCCAGGGCAACTGTGGGACAAGAAAAAAGAAAAGGTCCACTTGGGAGGTTGAGATGGGCACTGGGGGGCCTCTCCTAAGGCAAGCCTTGCTGGAGCACAGTGCTCAGGAAAAGTCTGTGAGGATTCAGTCATGTAATCTGGGGCTAGTTTCACATGAAAAGAAACTGGGAGGATTTCAGAACCAAACAGCAATGATGGCATCTTGTTGCTCAAATCTATGAAGCTCCTTTTGATGGCTTCGAGAGAATGAAGTTCCAAGGGCTTACTGTCGGGCCTCTTGTTCCATCCACTAGCTGCCAAATGTGGATTCAGCTGCATTGCATTATATGAAAATCCATCTAGAAGCCTTTTGTATCTGAGGCGTTTGTAGCTTTTAGCCACTGGAAGAAGTGCAGAGGAACATCGCCGATATCTGAGTTTCTGGGTTTTTATGGCTGGGGCTAGTTTGGAGGCAAGGATGGACAGCTTGTTTAGTAAGGCTAATTCTTTGGTAGGCTTTCTATAATTCAGGCTCCTCAAGGGATGGAATGCAACAGTCCTCTGCTTTGGTATGTGGCTAAGCAAGCTCTTGGTAGGTAGTGTTTTGGATTCCAATCGTGCAGAAGCAGATGCAGCACATGAGCTGAGAAGTCTGTGTGCTTTTGTGGGGATGGGATCAGAGGAACTCTTTCCGAAGGCAGAACTTCTGATTTTACTTATTTTCCTCTTCATGCTGACTGGCTCCTGACAGGCAACTCTCTTACATGTTCTATGGGGCTGCTTCTTTAAGGGAAGCATTCCTTTCTGACAGGAAATGTTCACAAAGGCACCATGTATTTGATCATACCCAGCAGACCTGGGGTCTTGTGCTTTCTGAGGGGCATCAGGAAGGCATGGACCTGTGCACAACTCAATGTCCTTCTTTAATGGATGACATAAGCTTTCCTCCTTTTCAGGGTCTTCCAACCTCTGAAACTGTCTGGCAATGTTGCCCTTGGTTGGCTTTGATAGGGTGATTTCTTTAATCATGGTGGACTCATTTTTGTTAGCCTTAGGTTGGTTCTTATTTTTCACCACATCAGCCAACATATTAGATGATGCATGTTGTTCCAAAACCATATGTGTTCCTTTTTGATGTACTTGTTTCTCTTCCTTTGGCAACATATAGTCCAAGACCCACTGGCTTTGYTGTTTTTCAGCATCAGCATGCATGCCCTGGCATTTCAAGTGGGTCTTGCTCAAATTAGCACTATTACCACCTTTTACGGTAATCATCTCTTTAGATTCCTCCCTGACAGGTAAGTGACCCAATGTATCTCTCAAAGGATCTTCAGTTTCCTCTCTATTCACTTTAGTTGCTGTTTCTGCTGTCAAAGGTGAATGTCTATCAGTAGAATTCTCCTGAGAGTGATAATCTTTGCAAATATTATTTTTCACACTGATCTGCATACTGTCTCTTTCACTAGGATTACTCATATCCCTCAGAGCTCCCTCCTTCATCTCAAGCAGGACTGTGCAGTCTTCCATAGTTTCACACAGTATTTCACCCTCATTTGGTGTGAAGAGATTTTTCAGGTCAGTTTTTTTAACCTTAGTATCAGTTTCTGAATTTTCTCGAGCAGACAGACATAAAGACATTATCTCAATTGATTTCATGCTCCCTGGGGATACACAGGTCTCATCTTGGCATCTAGAAAACATCAAATCTTTTGAGGAAATTTCAAAGGGTATTTTCTTGCATGATACAGAATTTAATTCTAGTCCTGATCCTTTGGTTATTCCTTGTGTTTCTTTCAGAGATGTTCCTTTACCTTGGTGTTCATGACAAATATAATTTAAAGACATGTTTATTCTACCCAGTATTTTTATATTTGGTTCATGATCTGCAACTGACTCCATATCCTGAGCACAAGAATCTGAATACTCTTCCATTTCACAGTCTTTTAAAGATCTGCATACTTTCTCCTCACATGATTTTTTCATTTCAAGGGATTCCACTGGAGAAGCAGCAGCATTTGGAAGATATGAGTCCTGTTTAATTGTTCCTATAAATGTGGCATTCAGTTCTCCTCTCTGAGAGGAGGTACTCCTTGAGGTTTTATGGGATGCCAGTGTATCTTGACTTACACCACCACTAAGTGTACTGAATGCTTTAATGTCCACCATGCCTTCCATAGGCTTTTTATTATAGTCAGCATTGACCAAGTCTATGATATCATCTGTGAACTCTGCAGAGCCAGAAATATTTTCAAAGACTCCTTTTGAATCACCTTCTTTTGGACTATCATAAGACAGTGATTTATTACTGCTTGAACTGGCTATCAGGTCTTTTTTGTTGTGATTTTCCTCTCTGTTAGAATCTATGTTGGTCTCTCTGTGGTTACTATCTCGTGCCTCCTCAGCTGATTTATTTTTATCTCTGTACTCATTTGGACTGTTTTGGTTACTGTGGCAGTCAAGGACTTCACTTATCTTCTGATCAAGAGTTTCAATTGTTTGGTTCATATTCTTAAAACTGGAGAACATAATAGTAGAAGCCTTGTCCAACAATGTTTCAGGACTTGGAATGTTTGCAGATTGATTTAGTTCTCGTGTAGCACAATCAGAGATGTTATATTTATAAAACACTGTCTCTTTGGGTATATCTGTTTCTTTTCCATCTAGTCCTTCCTCATTGGGTTTGATGTGACTGATGGTGTGAATGGTTATGTTTGAAGCTCCACTATCTGACACTCCTTCTGTCACTTTATTTCTGATCTTAATTCCCAGAAGTCTACCTTTAGTTTCTCTCCTATCAAGTTCACTCTCTTCTGATGTACAACTCAAGTTACGGGTGCTATTTTCCATGGAGTCTTCTATTCCTTGGGAGTGGTGATCATTATGCAGAAACCCATCTTCACATTTTGTAACAGAAGAGTTCAGGATGATTTTGTTGGGTTCAAAAGAAGCACAAGCAAAACACATGTTATCTTCTGATGCATTGCTTCTTATACAATGACAGCTGGGGATATCCTGAGATTGAATATTTTGACATTCTGTGACAGAAACATCTTGAGGAAAGCCAGATTCTTCTTTTGTACTTTGGAGGAACCTAGGATGTAGATCTTCTGTTCTTGAGTCAGTCATTTCTTTTCTTCTTTCTAGGTTTCGTGGGTTGACATTTAAGGTAGGATTGTTTGAAGAGGCACCACATGTTTTTTCAACTAATGGAGAGATGTCTTTCATTTTTGTTGTAATGGGAATGATTTGAGCATCAGCAATAACAGATCTTCCATTCTCTAATGGAGGATGTTGGCTCTGTTGGGCATCTTTGCTTGTGGCTAAAGGCATCTCTCTGTTTATATTTAGTAGGGAGTTGGTTGGCAACTTCACATGGTCTTGAGAATTAAGGGTCACTTGATTTAAAACACATTCATTTTCTACTTTGTTTACAACCAATTTGTTGGTATCAGAAGATTCACTCATCTCATGGGCAATACTCTGTTCATTTAAATGTGAACTATTATTATGTGAGGTCTGTATAGTTTTTTCTGTCTCAGATCTATAATCCAATTCTAGAGATGGTGGTAACTGAACAATATCTTTCTTGGGTTTTGATACTTCATTACATACAGAACTTATCTCATCTTTTGGCATTAAAGTCATATGACATTTTCTTTTGGACAGAAAATCAGTACATGATGCTTCATTTAACTGGGTGTCACCTTCCAGATTTCTCTGGATGCTGACTAAGGAGTCAGAGTCTTTACTATAAACCTTTTCACTTAACAAACTGGATTCTTTAGTGGTTGTCTGTTCTGGCTCTTCATTCTGCACCAAGGAAGAAAAACTGCTTTCTTCAGAGTGTCCACCTGGATGCTTCATATTATTAACAGTTTCTCTATGGTCCTCAGGGTTTGTAAAGCTACCCTGAATATCTGAAGTGATTTTCAAATCATTTTTTTTAAACATTATTTCTGTGGTTTCAGTAAAAGCCTTGGGCATTAAAGAACTAGAGCTGTCTGTATGGGTTCTACCTTGAATGCAACAGTTACTGTGGATATTTTCTTTTGGGGAATTAACAGTCTCTTTTTCACCAGAACAATAATTACTGGCATCCTTTTYTGGTTGCCTGGATTTAATAAGAAAGAGTTCATCTCTTTCACTCCTGGGATTTAAAAGTTGTTCTTCACTTTCTTCTCTAGAAGCCAAGTTCTTACTTTGATCATCCTTATAAAAATAGGAACTGTCTGTCTTTTCAGCAAATCTCTTCAAGAAACCATAGCTTTCAAAACCACATTTTTCTAAGGATGTTGTTCTGGATTCTGGATCAGACAAACATGGTGTGAAATGTGAAATTTCATAATTTTCTTCCAAGGGTTTTACAGCATCTGCATTTCCCATAGCTGTGGAACTATCATATGTAGAACAGCAGTTTTCATTATGGTGGCCCAGACTCTGTTGGTGATTGTCATCTGCTTCACAGACAAGGCTTAATTTACACAATTCTTCTTTCCCACTGTGCACTTTGGAAATGGCACTGTTCCCTGGTAATAATGACAACCAAGATGGACAAGTTTTTATTTCTCCACATTCTTTTTCTTTAGGAGTTGCTTCTGTTAATCCAGGGTCCACAAAGGTTAAAGGCTCTAAGGAAACTAATGTTCTGGTTTCTGAAACCTCACCACTGGTCATGATTTTGTCTACTTCTGGATATTCGCTGCACCCAGCTGAGAGACCTTTACTCACATGGCCATTCTTGTGTCCTTCATTATTATCCGTCTTAGTCCTATTGACCTTCATACCTTGTACATCTTTAACAGATTTCAGTGGAGTTTCAGTTGTAATCCATACTTTTCCTTCTGCACAAGAGAAATAAATTAAAAACAGTATGCAATCATAAAAACAAATTGCTTTACCTTAATGAATCATGCAACCAATGGCAACAATACCCAATTCAAAAAAAGAGGGTCACAAATTAGTGTGCCATACCATCAAAATGACTTTCTCTAAATGTTACTTAGCATTCAGCAATTAATGCTGGACAATTAAATACAACATAAAGACACATGCCTAATTCAGAATCTTAAGAAGTTTCCATTTTAAAACATTAATAGAATAGATTCACAATATAATAGCTTATATCATTAGATGACTATCTTCTTACTTGGACTTAGATGCATTACAGATAAAATTACTCTTTAAAAAAAAAGTTATGCATAACACAACATATACTAGAGTGTGATGGTGCACACCTCTAATCAAGCTACAGGCCAGTTTGAGACAGGAGAATCACAAGTTTGAGGCTAGCTTTCGCATCTTAGTGAGACCCTGTTTCAAAATAAAAAATAAAAAGGGCTGCAGATTTAGCTAAGTGGTAGGGCATCCCTGGGTTCAACCCCTAGTATCACAAAAACAAAACAAAATCTATATTAAAAAGATTGATGTATAAATTGAATAATTTTGAACCTAATTACCTACAATAACTGTCTCTGTATATAATAGAGATGATAATTATTGAAACTGAGTGACAGGCACATGGAGATTTTGTATATGCTTTCTATTTATGAATAAGTTTGAAAATTTCTATTATGAAACATTTAAAGAGAAAAATATTTCTTAGCAGAATGTCAGTACAATTCATAAAGAAGTTTCAATATACAGACTTTTTCTGAAATCCTAGGTATGGGGTGCAGTACAATGTAGTTCCTCAAATTTATTATTAATCTACACACAATATATACACATTTTCATCTTTCTTCCTCTTTTAGAAAACAAATCCAAAGCTACACACACACACACACACACACACACACACACACAGATGTGTGTATATGCATCAGATATGCACACAACATACCTATACTAAACCGATAAAGAAAAAAAAAATCAATTTAAAGATCGAATTCCCACTAAAATAAAAACTCTAGGGCTGGGGATATAGCTCAGTTGGTAGACTGCTAGACTCACATGCACAAGGCTTTGGGTTCAATGCCCAGCACCACAAAAAAACAAACAAACAAAAACCCCCAATTGTATTAGGATAAAGATTATGTTGGGTTTGTTCTCTCCTCTTCCTTGTTGGCCAGCATAATGCCTGATATATAACAACACTCAATGAATATTTGTAGTATTAATGAATGTACAGAGTTAGGTCATATCAACAAATGTCATTAACAGTGAGTTCCTAGGCTTCTCTATTCATTTCTCAATAAGTACCAAGAACAGCAATTACTAAGAAAGAGCTATGGATGTCTTTGAAGCCCCTTGACTCTATGATAACTTACCTCTCTGGGTCTCAAGTTTCCTCCTTTGTAAAAAGCATCGTTAGTACACTTACCTCATTGCTATATGCAGGACTGAAGTAAATAATATGTGTAAAACACCACCTGGTACAGTGCTTGCCATATAAAGAAAAGATGGCTTTTCTTTTTGATTCCTTATTTTACTGCACCTAAGAGTAGTCAATTGATAATAACTAGGCTTGGAACAGTACTTATATATTTGGAGTCTGGGCTAGGGATGTAACTCAGTGGTAAAGGATATGTTAAACATATGAGAACTTCTGGCACCAATTAAAAAAAGTTTTTGCAGTGATGGGGACCAAACTGAGGACATTGAGCATGTTAGGCAAGCACTGTACCATTCAACTACATCTCTAGTCTCCCAAAATATTTGGAGTAAGCRAATACTAGATGGATAAATATATACTAAATTCCATAAGCTTGCACAGATACCAGTAATCAACAAAAGGCAGACTTGAAATCCTAATTTCCCACACAATATTTATTACCGTGAAACTAGTCTATTTTATCACAGCAGAAAATGCTACTCTACTCATGAATTTCTTAACATGAGTACTCCAAATGGTTTTATTTTATCCTTCTACTGTATGCTATACCATTCATTAAACCATTTGTTCCACACCATCCTAGCTGTACCTCTCACTGTATCTGCTCAAAAACATTGTAAAACTCTTTATCCATCCCCAAACTGTTTACAGTTGATTTACTTTGTGCAAGGCACTTCAGGTGAGACTCTTCCTCAGAGCCACTACCTGCAGAAGAATACTCATTCTTAACTTAAGTGAAGAGTTTTAGGGAGGAGGCAAGAGGACCACCACTTCCCAGGYGACGTAGCTGAAGGCTAGGTGGGAAAGAAGGGTTGTGTAAAGCTGCAAAGCAAAATTACACTAATCCCATTCTTTTGACTTATTTTTAATCATGTATTTTGAAATTTYAGAGAACTTTAAAGGAGAGTTTGAGGTAATTTATTTTTATTACAAAGTTTTCAAAAGTCTAGGGAACACTGACCTGGTCTCTGTAATACATGGATAAAGACTCACATACTGTATAGAATTATTATGAAGATTACAAGAATTAATATATGTACTCTCAAAAGTGTCAGAGAGGACATGTTCAGTTAATGCTAGCCATTTTTATTATTCCTTGGAACTCCTACTCCCTTACATACAAGCTCTATCAAGACCTCTATATGGGCTGGGGTTATAGCTCAGTGGTATAGCACTTGCCTACCATGTGTGAGTCACTGGGTTTAATTCTCAGCACAGCATATAAAGGTCCAACAACAACTAAAAAACAAAAACAAAAAAACTTTTTTAATTAAAAAAAAAACTCTCAGTAATACTATTTCTCAATTATTTATTTTTAATTTTTCTTTTTAAAAATATTTATCTTTTAGTTGTAGTTGGACACAATATGTTTATTTTATTTATTTATATGTGGTGCTGAGGATCGAACCCAGGGCCTCATATGCRCTCAGCGAGTGCTCTACCGCTGAGCCACAACCCCAGCCCTATTTTTCAATTATTCAATATACCACTTCTACTAGGCACAGAACTACAGTCCCAGCTACTTGGGAGACTGAGGCAGGAGGATCACTTGAGACCAAAAGTCCAAGACTAGCCTGGGCAACATAAAACCTTATTATAGAAGTAAATAAATAATGAAAAATAAAGAAAAAAATGATTACTTCCATGAAACTGGAAGGACAGAAATGGAATTTTAATGATTGTTGTGGGTTACACTCTGGTTGAAGGAAGAGTTGGAAGATCAGGGAAGCTATCACAAGTATTAGGAACAAGCAGCCAGGAATGGTGGCACACACCTATAACCCCAGTGACTCCGGAAGCTGAAGCAAGAGAATGGCAAGTTTGAGGCCAGCCTCTRGAACTTGGCAAGATTCTCAGCAACTTAATGAGACCCTGTTTTAAAATAAAACAATAAAAAGGGCTGGGGATGTAGCTCAGCATACAGTGCCCCTGGGTTCAATCCCCAGTACAATAAAAAAAAAAAAAAAAAAGTATTTGAACACTGGAGAATGAAATTAACATTCTGTGAGTTATGTTACTCAGCTTGAGATGATCATGGACTTCTAGCTCTACATCTAAAAAATATTCACATTTGCAGGAGTTGGCAAGCTAATTCTAAAATTTATATGAAAATTCAAGTAGAATAAAACACCCAAAACAATCTTTAAAAAGAATAAGGTAAGTAGACTTAGACTTCCTGATTTCAAAGCTTACTATATTGCTACATTGTCAAGATAATAACATAGGTTAGACATAAATATCAACAGATAAAATGAGAAGTTCTATAGTTTGAATCTTATATATTCTCCAAAGACCTATGTGTTAAAAAAGCTTGGTCCCCAGCCTGTGGCACTACTGGCAGGTAGTGGAACACTTAAGAAAAGAAAAGTTAAGATTATCAGGGGCATGCCCTGAAAGGGGACTGTGGGAGTTGGGTGGGGGTGGCACACACCTGTAATCCCAGTTACTTGGGAGGATGAAGCAGAAGAATCACAAGTTCAAGGCCAGCCTGGGCAATTAGCAAGGCTCTGTCTCAAAATAAGATAAATAGTGCTGGAGATAGAGTTTAAAAAATAAATAAATAATAAAAAGGGGAAATACCTGGCTGGGGGTATAGATCAATGGTAGAGCATGTGCTTAGCATACTCAAGGACCTGGCTTCAATCCCCAGCATCCCACTCCAACCCCCCTGAAAAMAAGGAAGGAAGAAAAAGAGAGAACCAACCTGGGCAGAGTACAAATTTTGGCAGTGGGGCCCCTGAAGAAAGAATACAAGAAGTAGATTTCTAAGAAGCATCATTTAATTTTCAACTTCATAGTAAATGATGAGGCAGCAGATGCATGACCTTGACCATGGCAAAGCAAGCTGAAATGCTGATAACACTATCAAAGATAATGTACATCTGGTTAAGTCAAATCCATGGTGGTTGTAAATACTTCTCGCATCCCCCAGACTTGAGGTATTCATAAACTTGCCTTCACAGAACTTTCCTCTCTGCCTTGCTATGACAGTCTGTGACTTTGGGTAGCTAAACTTGCTTTCTTGTGTGTAACATGGAATAYCTTGGAAGATTCCTGGGAGACTAAATTAATACATATTATATTGAGGCTATTAAAGATTCCAGTAAAGTTGCTGATTTTAAGCTCCCCCATATCAAACAGAAAACCTTACACATGGCTTTGGGGGTGAGTTGGGGAAATCAAATGACTGATTTTGTCAGTTTAAGTCATTTAAAAAAATGGTGGTGCTGGAGATATAGCTCAGTTGGTAGAGTGCTTGCCTCTCATGCACAAGGCCCTGGGTTCAATCCCCAGCACCTCAAGGAAACACACACACACACACACACACACAAAAAAAAAGTGAGTGGCACACATCTGTAGCCTCAGTGATTTGGGAGACTGAAGCAGAGGGACCATAAGTTCAAGGCCACCTTCAACAAATTAATAAGACCTTGACTCAAAGAATAAAAAAAGGACTAGGAATACAGCTCAGTGTTAAAGTTTCCCTGGGTTCAATCCTCACTACTACTACTAGTAGCAGTATTATAAAGAAGAATAGTGGGGCTGGGGTTGTGGCTCAGTAGCAAAGCACTTGCCTCGCACATATGAGGCACTGGGTTCAAGCCTCAGTACCACATAAAATAAATAAGTAAAATAAAGATATTAAAAAAAACAAATAGTGGTCTGGGGATGTAGCTCAGTGGTAGAATGCTCACCTAGCATGTATTAAACAGAGTTTAATTCCCAGTACTGAAAAAAAAAAAAAAAAAAAAAAAAAACCCAGCAGTGGAACAGGAAGAAAAATGGCATTGGGAAGAACCTGGTGTGGTGGAGCACACCTGTAATCCCAGGCTGAGGCAAGAGGATAACAAGTTCAAGGCCAGACTCAGTAATTTACCAAAGCTCTAACAACTTAGCAAGACTTTCCCGCAAAATCAAAAATAAAAAGGGATGAGGATGTAGCTCAGTGATAAAGTGCCCCTGGATTCAATCCCCAGTACCAAAAAAGGAGAAAAGTACATCTGAGTAGTTTATCTGTGGACACTTGTATCTATGTCCTATGTGAATTAACTTTTTAGCTTTTTGGTGGAAAGTAGCTACGTAAGCCTGAAAGAACAGTTTTTGTTTTGTTTTGTTTTTTCCCCCTTTTTGAGTAATGGAGGGATTGAACCCAAGGGTACTATGACTGAGCTATATCCCCAGTATCTTTTATTTTTTATTTTGAAAAAGGGTCTGGCTAAGTTGCTCACACTGGCCTCAAACTTGAAATCCTACGGCCTCATCTTCCTGAATAGCTGGGATTACAGGTGCATCACTGGCAGATTATTTATTTATTTATTATTTTCAGTGTGTGGTGCTGGGGATTGGCCCAGGATGTTGCACATGTTAAGCAAATGTTCTACCAATGAGGTATAGCTTCAACCCTTAAAGGACACAACTCAGGTTCTTCTAAAAGGTCATTTAGGAGCTGCGGCTGTAGCTTTGTGGTAGAGTGCTTGCCTAACATGTGAGGCACTGAGTTCKATTCTCAGCACTGCATATAAATAAATGAACAAAATAAATGTCTAAAAAATATTTTTTCTTAAAAAAAGGTCATTTAGTGTTAAATGAAAGTGCAGTTCAATACAAACAACATAAATCTTATGGAAGGATGTGGGTAAAAAAAATGCCAAAGATTAAGTCATACTGGAATCCCCATGAAAAGATCTTAGGGATGAGTTGGGGGCCACTATACTGAATCCCCTGTAAGCCCTAAAAACACTGTGAAACTTATAGACAAAACAGTATTTCTCTCTTTAGAGCAGTGTCCTTTAACACATACTGGACAGTCAAGTCTTTGAGCCACAGAGAAAATCTGTAGCAGTAGGAAGCAGGGTGATAAACCAGGACAAATGCTTCTTTTTTTGTACAGACTTATAAAGGTGGTGAGAGTCAAATCTAACATTATATCACAGTAACAAAATTTTTATATTCTTTAACATACTTATTCCCTGCCCCCCCCCATCAGCTTTTTGAGGTTCTGGTATGACAGTCCTCTCTTAAGATTATTTTTGGCCTATGGGTGGCAACAGGAGGAGAATCTCTATTCAGATACCCTCCAGTTGGATCTTAGCTTTCTTCTTAATCACCCACCAATCAATGTAGAAGTAATCCTTCAGATGCCTAAACTCAGCCACTGTTTTGAGAAGAAAAATGAAATAACAAAAATGAACTGACTTGAAAACTCTCAAGGTGACCCAAATGAATGTTTCCTCTCATACCTGCCCCAGAGAACTGCCATGTGCTGAACAATACAGGATGGATTTCTCCCCTGTCCCAGTTCATCCTTCTAAACAAGGAAATATATTATATTTGATTATATAAAATTAAATAAAAGACTTCAAGGAAAAATAAAAGGGAATCAAACTTTCATAAAAAGTAAGGCACTGCCTGATAACAGGTATGTTCAGTCAGGTACATTCATGGGCAATATTTCTATAGCTAGGTCATCCTGCAACTAGCAGGGACCTACAGCCTTTATGTTCTGAATACAAAATGGAAATGTGAACTAAAACACTATGTGTAGTAAGTGGGAAAAGGAAACAATTCAGAGAAATAGATACCTTTGCTCCTTAGAAAATCTTCAGGGAGGTCTGCACGTAAAAGTTCTTTGCTGTTCTGCATCAGGAGGTCCTCCTACAGTAAGAAAATCCAGGAGTCAGGGAATATTCAGATACATGAAATTACGAATATTATTCTTTGAGAAAGTTTTGTGTAGTTCTGGGGACTGAATTCAGGTGCTTGCAAGTTAGGCAAGCACTGCCTCACCCCCCCCCYTTTTTTTTAACTTTTGAGATAAGACTTGCTAAATTGCCTGAGCTAGCCTTGAACTTGTGATCCTCCTACTCCAGAATAGCTAACTGGGATTACAGGTGTGCACCATTCCACCTGGCTGAGACTTCAGGAAATCTGCTAGCAGTCACAAAGATTAGGAACTGAAGGAAACCTCAAATTTAAGTAAATTCAATGCAAACTTTTACTTCTCTAGAATTCAAACTTGAAAAATCAGTCAAGTTTTTCAAGTCTGAATAATAATAGGTAAAAAAGGCCAAATTACAGATGCAAACAAAACCCTATAAGTGACTTCTGAATTAAAAAGACAAATTGTTGCAATATAATTTTAATCTTATTTCAGGGGAAAATATCAGAAAATTAGATGTATCTCAATCTCTAACCATTCTAGATATCATAAGTAAAATTCTTCTCAAACCTCTCAGAAAGTTTTGCTTTGTTTTTAAAAATCTTCCTCATCACAGAAGGGAAGAGAAAAGGGATTATTACCAATGACAATTTGAATTACAGGTATGTACCAACCATGCCTGGCTGAGAGACTTCTATACAACTTCAGGAAATTTGCTATTAGTCACAAGGAGTAGAAATTGAAGGGAATCTCAAATTTAAGTATAATCAACAAAAATTTCTTCATCTTAAAAGCAGAAGAAATTTTTAAAATGGGACAGAACAATGGCAGAATGTGCACACCGTGACAAATGCCTTTGCAGCTCAGGAAGTGGGGCTGTGTACATGTTGAGTATCCCTTATTAGAAATGCTTGGAAACAGAAATTTCTCAGATTTCAGGATTTTTTAGATTTTGAAATATTTRCATATATCTAATGTAATATCTCAGGGATGGGAGCCAAGCCTAAAAAATAAAATTTATTACATTTCACATATACCTTAACACAAACTGAATATAATTTTATACAACTATTTTTTAGTGTTCCTGCATTTTGAGTATGACCTGTCACATGAGATCAGGTGTAGAATTTTCCACTGGAGTCATCATGTTGATGCTCAGAAAGTTTTAGATTTTGAAGCATTGTGGATTTCAGATTTTCAGATAAGTGATGCTGAACCTGTATCAAGTTTACTGGGTGGGAGACTCTGACCAAACACAAATGGCTGTGAATGCTTAACTTTCCTTCTGAGTCATTTCTCTCCACCTCTTCTAAGGCTTAAACATTTTTGGTGCGGGGTACTRGGGTGCTCAATCTCTGAGCCACATTCCCAGTCCTTTTTATTATTATTATTTTTAATTTTGAGACAGGGTCTTGCTTAAATTGCTTAGGGCCTTGCTAAATTTCTGAGGCTGGTCTYGAATTTGCAGTCCCCTCCCTTGGTCTCCCGAGTTGCTGGGATTACAGGCATATGCCATCACACCAGGCTAACATTTTTTWAAATATTGATTTAATTGATAAGTACAAAATTCTGATGCAACATCCATCAAAAGATACAGATCAGTGAAATCACTGCCGTAACTTTAGGTAATTTTTCTCTTAATTCTTATTTAAAGGAAAAAAAATTAGAGCTCTAAGCAAAATTCTGAAATTAGAAAATTAGAAACAGAAGCCAAGAAAGGAGCTTCAAAGATATAAACAATGGCAAATAAAATAAAAAATAAAAATAAAACACTACTATTGGAATTGAGAGATGAGACTTGAATGGACAGAGTTTCATAGTCTTTACTTATTGAAACTTTAGTGTGTAATATACTTGTAAAGAGGGCTGGGGATGTGGCTCAAGCGGTAGCGCGCCCGCCTGGCATGCGTGCGGCCCAGGTTCGATCCTCAGCACCACATACAAACAAAGATGTTGTGTCCACCGAAAACTGAAAAATAAATATTAAAATTCTCTCTCTCTTTAATAAAAAATATATATATATATATACTTGTAAAGAGCATAAACTTCAAAACAAAATGAAAATGAATCCTAGCATGAATGGCAGAGAGAATAAGGGAAAGAGAAAACACTTACTACAGAAGAAATGATGGGATTAGAAAAAATTTGGCAACCATCACAGTAATCATCTCAAGCAAATGTCAATGAATGCTAAAACTGGTGGCTAAATGTTTGAATGAGAAACAATATTCATAATCTCAAATATGTTGTCATAAGAAACTTATCAATTATTAAAAGGAAAATAGTAACTTCACAATGGAGAAACCTGACAGACCTCACCAAACCAACTCATCAAATTTCTCTTCAGGGATGAGGCATCCCAACATTATGTGCTTCCTGATATGATCCACTGAGAAGAACAAACATCACTTCTGTAGTATTCCTGACCCCAAAACGCATATCTGGAATCTAATCAGGAGGAAACATTACACAAACCCAAACTGAGGGAAACTGTACAAAACAAATGACCTGTTCTCTTCAAAATTATGGGCAAAGGAACTGTTTATTCCAGATTAAAGACAAACGAGACATGTCAACTGAATGCCACAGTAATCTTGCCCCAGAAAAACTAAAAACATCTTCTTTTCCTTGGCATTAAAAGATAGCAATAGGACAACTGGCCCAATTTGAATATGATTTGTAGAGTAGATATAGGACTTGGTCAGCCACACTATGGTCAGGTAACAGAATGTCTTTGTTTGCTAGGAAATATACATTGAAGTATTTAGGCATCATGTCTATGAATATACTCTAAAATTATTCAGAAAAAAGAAAAAGAGGCAAAATATTAACATGTGAGCAAGTTGCAGAAGATAATTCTTGGTATTATTTTTTCAACTTTTCTGTACTTAAATTATTTCAAAATAAAGGTTAAGAAAATATTTACTTAGGGAGGCTGAGGCAGGAGGATCACAAGTTCAAAGCCAGCCTCAGCAAAAAGCAAGGCACTGGGCTGGGGATGTGGCTCAAGCGGTAGCGTGCTCGCCTGGCATGCGTGCGGCCCGGGTTCGATCCTCAGCACCACATACCAACAAAGATGTTGTGTCTGCCGAGAACTAAAAAAGAAGTATTAAAAATTCTCTCTCTCTTTAAAAAAAAAAAAAAAAGCAAGGCACTTAGCAATTCAATGAGACCCTGTCTCTAAAAAGAATACAAAATAGGGCTCCGGATGTGGCTCAGTGGTTGATTACAGCTGAGTTCAATCCCTGGTACCAAAACAAAAAAGAAAAACTAACAAACAAAAAGCCCTACATTTACTTGTAATTATACTTTCTACAAAAATGACATTCTGTCTAGCTTGCAGTATGTTCAGTTGTTGCTGAATGGGACTTACTGCCAACTATTAAATTTGGTGTCTCATTTTGCTGAATAAGTGAAAATTTCCTTCAGTCAACATGGCAGGTAAGAGAGTCCTGGCCCTGGGAGGATTCATTTGTTTTTTTGGTTTAGCAGTATAAGTGTTTTGGCCTTCTGATGCCCCATAAATTGCATTTCTTTACAGAACTTTGGTGGTAAAATGGGTGCGAGAGCCAGGTGTGGTGATGCACACCTGTATTCCCAGCATCCTTTGAGGCTGAGGCAGGAGGACTGCAGATTCGAAGCCAGTCTTGACAATTTAGTGAGGCTATAAGCAACACAGTGAGATATCCTGTATAACAGTATAACAGACAATAAACAAACAAAAACAAAACAATGTCCTGGAAAAGGGAGTTCTCTGATTCATTCCTGTAGAATGAGTTCATAAGCAGGCAATTACACAAATACCTGAGGGAAATGAATATATATTGGGCTCTTCAGCTTTTATAAATAGCAAATTTTAAGCTTCTCAGGAATTGAGGAATCTCTGAGCCTTGAGCTCAGAGCCTAGACCCCTCTGGCWCCTCCAAATCTTTGCTTCACTAACTAGAAGTAGATGCAGATCAAGGAAAGAACAGTGATGACTCCATCTACAGAAGGCATTGTCTATACACTGAATTATCCCAAGTACAGGACCAAAGGAATATTTCCTATTTCCTGACATTTGTGGAAATAGCCATAATTACTTTCATAGCTAACATACTTTGAAGTTAAAAAAAAATGTTTATATCTATAGATGGATCTTTCAGTTTTGTATATGCGCATACCTAGAAAAGGAATAAAATGTGAAACAGTAACTTTAAGTCATTCTTGTATAGCTTTAAAAGGAACTTTCCTCACATATCTCAATTTGGAGAAACAGCTGTGACTTTAAATAAGTCATCAATCATGCAGCTGGGTGAGGGGTTAATGACATCACCCCTGCAATGAATTATATAAGAGAATTGTGAAATAATCAAGGGAAAGCTCTATCTTAAGTCTCAGTAATGTGCTTTGGATATTTTTGTCACATGGCAAATCATCACTGTAGAGACAACTGTGCACTACAGATGCAGAGAACAGCGTATGAACACCAATTTTACTACTGAGCCATGAAATTCAGATTTTTCACCTTTGAATTACTGAAAACTAAACTCTTTTCAATAATAGTTCTATTTAGGAAAAGAGCAAAATTCCTGAACACGATTGCAAATTTCTCACAGGTTCAAAGACTCTCAGGGTTAGAAGTACACAGTAAACTTAGTGGGCATTTAGTGTAACTACCTTTCATTTAAGTAAATCCACATAAATTGCCAAAGATTGAATCTATTATGAACACACCATTAAAAAACAGGTTTCTCTAAAGGCAGGCATGGTGGCATCCTGCCTGTGATCCCAGCCACTCAGTAGGCTGAGGTGGGAGGATTGTGAGTACCAGGCTAACAAGAGCAATTTAGCAAGAACCCATCTCAAAACAAAACTTAAAAACCAAGTTTCTCCAAAAACATAATACACTTTAAGTAATCAAAAGCCACTGTGTTTCCCTACTTAATGCCCCCTTTCTACATACCTTCAAATACAATCGCCTATCCTCAAAATGTATACTATGCCATCTTATGTT